TTTATCTCCAAGCTCGGAAAAAAAAAAAAAAGAAGAGAGACGAGGAAGAAAGAAGGTTACGTGAGCCTGAACAAACAACAGGCAGAGAGCAGGTGTAGCCTGAGGTGGCCCAAGTATAATTATACAATTAGCTGGCGTACAGATCCGTGCATCGCAAATCCTCACCTATGAATTATGTTCTTAGGAGGACTTTGCAGAGTATCAGCACATGCATCGTTTGTTAGCACAAACAGAGAAGTAAAAGAATGAGAAATAAAACAAAAGAAAGTTTCTGTCTCTATTAAAACTAAACATACAGATGAAGACAGACTGATAGATTTTCTGCTTATTTCTTATCAGTAAAGGTTTTTTTTCTGCATTAACCACAGATTGTTTTTGTCAAGTATTTATTTTCAAAGGTTTTTAGATCAGCTTATAAACTGATACAGGACCTTTGGTATTTGTTGGTAAAACTTTGTGGCATAATACCGATGATGTAAGAGAAACCATTAAATGCACAAGTGTTGTTCGAGGTTGGTAAAAACTCTGTGAAGTCACTTTTCTCTGCTGGCAGTGTTGTGTTTATGTGCATTAACTTACACTTACAACTCAGGGTGCTCGTTCTGTGTATTTAAATAAAGTGGTTTTTTGAAGAAAGGATAAGCTCAAGATTTGTGAAAAAAAGATGTAGAATCTGGATTTATTTTCTCAAGAGTTGGCAAAAAAAAAAAGTGTTAAAATGATCTTAAGTAAATGGAAGTCTTTTTAAAAGTGGGCATTTTATGTTTAGTTTGAATCATGTGAATTCTCACTGCTGTCAGACAAAAGAGAAAATACATCAGACCAAATCTTTTTTTTTCTTTGTAAATTCTTGTAAACAATCAGCATGAAGTGTTTTGTAACTTCTTGTTCTGCTGCTGAACGAGCTGCGCTGTTTGCTTCATTTCTACTGACAAATCAAGAAGTTCTCCTACCTTTTGGGATGCGGAGGTCCAAACCAGACTCAAGTTGTGTATTCCTCCAAACGCTTTTTTTTTTTTTTTTTTTGTTTGTCTGCCTCTCTCTCTCTCTCTCTTTCTGCCTGTAGGTAAAAAGTGATGCAGTCCTCCTGAGGAACTGGAAAGAGCCGATCCAGGTATGAACTGAGCGAGACACAGAACAAACATATTGGCTCAACGATTCTGTGCTGTCAAAAGAGCCGCTTTGTGTTTTTGTTAATACTGTATTGAGTCAATGAGCGGGGCTACCGGTGTTAAAAAAAAATCTGATTGTACAGAGGCTGTCAAAAGATATCCATGCACTGTGGGAAAGTCACACACAATAGACTATCAATCTGCAAATGTTTTCTTCCCTCCCAACGCGGGGAGCTGCGCGGAAAAATGTAAAAAATGACAATGATCTGAAAACTTCAACCGACACAAGCAGCATGAAAAAAGTGCCCAGAAAAGAGCTCCAAACAGAAAGAGGGAACTTTAGAGGAGAACTTACCTTCTATTAAATGTGAAAGTCACCTTTTTCCTCCTCAAAGAGAGCAGCGGGTCACTTTGTGTTACTTTGTTGTAATTTGGCGCCTTGTTGTTTTCCGTAATATTTCTCAGAGGTTTGACAGTATAAGTGGAATGTTAAGTATGACTTTGGTATGAAATCAACGCACTACACTGGAAAACGAAGGGGGAGGGAGAGAAAAAACTTGCAAGGAGGAGCCATCGGTGCGCGTCAATCAACAAGCACAGGGGGCGGGGCCTTCGCTCCAGACCACGCCCACCACAAACCTGCACTTACTGAGCTGCTGCTTCCTGCCCTAAAACCCAGGCTACTAACCTTAAACCTACAAAACAACTACATATCCCTGTTAGATCCAGGAAATAATAATTATCTCCATACCTTTAAGAACTGATAAGCTGTTCTAAAAAAACTGACACTTTCACATATTTTTTAACATTTCTTCGTCTGTAAAGCCAAAAGATGATTTGATTTTCTGTCATGTTTATGACTTAAGAATAAAAGGGATTCTACGGGCCAGTGCAAAAGGGAGTATATCATTTAGTAAAATTAGAAATCAGGATTAAATTAGTCCACAAATACTTAAAGTCTCCCATTTAAAATCCCAGTTAAAGCACATTATGTAACAAAATGTACTAAAAATGACACAAAAGTGGAAGAAAACCAGGCACTCCAAACAAGACAAATGTACAAATAAGGAATGAAATACTATTATAATGGCTTTATCATTTAAAAAATAATCAGGTTATTAAAAAAGTATGATAATTTAAACCATTATAATAAAGGCCTTTTAAGTATTTCCTCCCTCATTTTGTCATTGTCCTACCTTAGAGTGCCTGGTATCCTCTCCTCTTGTTTAAAATGTTTTCCTCTGTTTTCAAAGAGAACCTATAACACACTGTTTTTTTGTCTTTTCTTACAATTTCTTATCTACTTTGAACACAGTGAACAACCAGTCAACACCTCCTTTTTGTATTAAAAATGAGCTGAAGTTAAAGTCAAGTTTTATACTGTATCGTACATAATATATAACGGATGATTTTTATTGATGTGTTAAGCTTTTATATATAGGCTGGTTTTTATGTAGATGGTCAAGGAGACGCTTATTTAACTATAATAAGTTAAGTCTATAAAATTAATTTTCATCAGCAGTTCATAAATTAAGCATGTAAGTGTTATCATTGTCTGTCAAACAAATGTATAAATAAAAAGAGTCATGGTCTGTATACATACAGAATAATCATGAAGGAGCATTAAAGAGGACTCTAATGACCAAGAAAATGATGCAGTCTACCTTGAGGCCTCTTCTGTCACTGCAAAGATCATTTTATTTTTTTAAAGAATATAAAACATACACAATTGTCAGACCCCAGACAGAACTCTTTAAAAAAACCTTGAACATATTTTCATCCAGCAACAGCTCCTTCTGTTGGTCAACAACATGGTTGCAACATGTTCACAGTATGCGTCTAAATATTTAAACATGAGTGAGAGACTAAATCAGAGCAACTGTAAATGCAGATATTTTGAAAGTGACCCACACATTCGATAGATACACAAATGGTACCAGCTGGAAAGGGTGACTACAGTCATTTTGGCGGTTGTTTTGCTGGAACTCAAATGACAGAGAGAGGACAATGGGGGGAGAGGGGGGGGGGGAGGGGGGCGGGAGGAGAACTCACCTTGCAGCATCTGTCCAGAAAAGCTGCCAGCTTCAGGCTTCATTTAATGTGCGAGTTTGGACAACTGCCTGAGCAGGTTCAGGCAGAATACACACCTCTCTGTGACTCTCGGGGCTCTCGGCTCAAACTGGTTTTTCTTCTGACTGAGGCTCCTCTCGAAACATGTCAGGAAGCTACTGCGCAACAGCACGACCAGAATCTCTCTGATTAACTGCCAGCTGCCGACTCAAGATAATACAGTCATAAAGCAAGTTTTATTTATAACTTTCATCAAAACATCACAGCAATCTACAGCAAGGGCTGTAGAATGAGTTTGAGGGTGACTTATTTTTAGAATAGATTGTTTTTATTACAGGAGTGATAAACTGCCCATCAATACAAATGTGCATAGATCCATTAATGTATATTATTATGGATATTATGTGTGTTTAAGCAGATAGCAAAGATCCAGGACATGTAACAACAAAAGGGATTAAACTACCAAACAAGAAGAGCCCGACCGATTAATCAGCGAGCCGATAACATCAGACGATATTAGTATATCCAGGGACTATCGGTATCGGCTAATTTTATCACAGATATGCGCCGATTTTACTCGTATTCACGAGTCAAAAAGCCTTTTATTTGAGTTTCATTGTATTTTACGAGCAGTTCCCTTTCATCAGCAGAGGGCGCTATATGTATATCAAGCTTCATCACCCTCCAGAGTCTCAAGCGGTGATGACCATCTCATCTTGATTGTATATCTTTTTCATAAATATTTGATATCTGCATTTGAGGGATCAACACAATAAATGTGTCTATCTATATCTATCTATCTCTACAGATTAAAGACAGATCGAAGAAAGATATCGGCCAATTTATCGGTTTATTTTTCTCTTCCTCATATCGATATCAGTATCAGACTCAAAAATCTCATATCGGTCGGACCCTAAAAACAACGGGCGTTGTTGTCTTTGTTACGTGTTACTTTGGCTTAAATCAATGAATTGGTACGACATCATTGTAATTACGAAGCCTCTTTGGGTGTGTTCCTGAGTAAACTGTATCCATATGAGAGATTTTAACAGAAAAGGAAACCAATACACATGTTTCATTGGACAATATGTTTACAATAAAACAAGAAATACAGCAAAGGCAGAGTTCAGAAAAATAATTTCATTATACAAAACAAACAAACAGAAAAAGACACAATATAGAAAACACCTACAAGAGTGAAAGTAGTCCCAAACTGAGATGGGCAGAAAAATAAAACTTAATCAGACTTTTCTATTTTTTTAACTTTGTGTGAACAAAGACAATAAAACAACTAATCATAAAGACGCACACCCCTTTTACAAAATGTGACACTTCTAAGAAAAGCTGTGCCCTACAAATTATGTTCCACGATCTCCAAAAGACAACAGTTTGTCAAACTCTCGTCTTAGAATATAAAACACATTTCCTGAGTAACAAAAACATTTGAACTAATAGGGTTCAGAATATTGAGATTTGAGTGACTTTCAATTTAAAAAACAATTTTTGCCTCAAAGGACCATTCTCCCTTTGACATTTTTGGTGTGTTTGTATTTTAAAGTCACATTAAGGGACCTTTGGTATGTGGATACAGCTCAACTCACAGAAATACAATACAGACCAGAAAAAAAGCCAGATCATAACAGTGTTTAACATCTTTAAGTGTTGTAGTCAAGACCACACTGACCGAGACCAAGACATACCCGAGACCAGAGTTCTCAGAGACCAAGACAAAACCAAGACATTTACAGATCAAGGCCGAGTCCAAGACCAAGACCAAGACCAAGGCAGGGTGAGACCGAGACAAGACCAAGACGAGGATGATAAATATCACTGAAAAATCATCATCTTGTGTGCAGGGGACGTTTCACTCACTTAGATCGTAACACCGGGAAGGCCGTAACTGAGGGATAAAAATGTTATTATGAATGAACTGAAGTTATTTGTTCTTTTAAAAAGAGGCATTTTCCTTCTAATCACAGTAATTACATGGACAAAAATAGCCAATCAGTGGTGATCTTGACTGATAAAAAATCCATAAGTCTGCCAAGCCTGAGACCGAGACAAGACCGAGTGAAAATGATTTTGACTCTGAGTCGAGACCGAGACCTTCAAAAAGCGGCCTCGAGACCAAGACCGATTTGGAGTACTACAACACTAACATCTTTAAAAGACGTTTGTAATCTTCAAAAATCTTAATCATTCAGGTTTGACAACATACTCTAAAACAACCCAGAAGTTTATGTTCAGAGACAACAGCCAGAATTCTCCCATGTCATGTTGGCAAGATCAGATGATGATATGAGACCGACTTCAGACTGTGAGTGAAAAACACACCCACAGGGGTAACAGTGCCGCAGCACGTAAAGACACATTCACTAAACCATGACCTGTTATCAGAGTCCATCACAGGAAACGTTGAAGGCAGTGTCCAAAGACAAGAGTTGTTCTGATGTGGGTGTAGGTTCAGGTTTTTGTGTGAGCCCCGCTGTTATTCACAGGCGATCTTCCCGTCGAAGCTGGAGAGAGCAATGGCGAAGGCCTGCACGGCACACAGCGGGTAGTTGAAGTCGAGCGTGAAAATGTCGTCAGCTATACGTCCGAACTGCATCACAATGTAGTCCACTGGAAAAGAAAATCAGGAGGGTTTTAAAACTAAGGAGCATTTATCTACTTAAATAACGACAGAATGAAGTTTGTTCAGGTGAGAAACATTAGAAATAAATAAAAACACGTATACTAAGATGTTGTTGTGCTGGAAGAAATACTGGCATGCTAAGATGCTAAAATTGACATAGCTTACAAGCTAGTGTTCAGAAGTTTTAAGATCAAACACATACACTTAAGTTACTTTGAAGGTTAGCATGCTAACGTTGCTGATTAGCACAAACCGATCATCTGGTCGACCTGATGAATGCTGTGGATGAAGGGCCACAGGACTTAAGTGATTATAATGTAACCTGAGGGGGGACAATGAATGTATGTACCAACTTTAATCATTTCCCTTTCTATTACTGCCTGAATAATATTATTAAAAGCTAACAATGTCAACCATGTGGTGATGCCGTAGAAAAATACGATCTCCACCCAAAATGTCTGTTTGTAATTTAATGGGTAATGCTAACAACAGCTATTGAGATTCTTCATTCTAAACCAAAATGCTCGTCCCAACAACCAACCGTGCTGTGAATACAACGAGTTATTGCTTTATTATTAACCAGCACATAGCACGCTATGCTAGCATCCGTTGGGAGGTATTATTGGAGAAGTCGTTCATAGAGGCATGATTTGGTCTGTTATTATTTCTGATTGGGACAGAACTTTTTTTGATTGACCAAAGTAGGTTGTTTTGAAATGTGTTTGCTGTCTATTATTGAAACAATGACAAATATAAGAAATGCTACATTTTTGCCACATTTTAGAAATATTAAGAGAAAGCAAATCCAACATATCGGAAAGTACTTCACAAGGTTTTTATGTCTTCATGATTTTGTGTAACTTTTTTGTAGAATGTTTTGTATTTATTTGTTGAAAAACTGAATATCTAATTGTGAGTCCTCATCAGGGACACCTAGAAGCTAGCTGGCAGTACTCACAGTCTTTGTTATGAACTATCTGGAAGTTCTTGATGGAGGCCTGGGTGACCCTGCCGTTAAAGTTGAGCACATGGGACGCCGTATCTTCGTTCCACACAGGCGTCTTGTTGCGCAGCTCGATCAAGTTGTCCGTCCGTCTATTCTGGTGTCTCAACAACAAGCCGTCGCAATCCTGTGATGAAATGACCGAAGCACGTCAGGGAAACACCGACACAGAGTCAAGTGAGTGATATGATAAATGTTAACCTTTGTTGCTCTCATAGCATACAGAAAAATGAAAACATCTACCTGTGAGCAGTATGAATATAACATGTTGACATTGTGCTCTGCAAAGGATTCTGGGATGTCTTATTTGTTTCCTGAATCATCTGGTAGAATCATGCATATGACTCTACAAGTGTAAATATACGGTACTTGATTATTTCACACCAATTTCCCACTTTCTTTACTGATGGAGGTTTACTCATATTATTGATCACCACAGATAACTTTCAGCAGGTTCCTATGTGGGATTTGGTCAAACTGCCAGTCTAATCACATAAACTATTCACTAACCCAGATGGAGTAAGTGAATACATACTGGAAGGGACAGGTTAAAGGGATAGGTCAGTTTTGAAGTGGGGTTATATGAGGCACTTGTTAATAATAAGTGTATCGACCACAGGAGATGCTGGTCAGCTCTGCCCCTTTGTTGAGAAACTGTCTGGAGTGCTAGGCTACAGACAAGGGCCATTTGCACTAAGTATAGCTAACTGAAAGACCCACCAACCTAAATAATCAAGGAAGATTTAGGCTACATTTGGACATTTTTAACAGCATTACTTTGTCATAATCAAGCCACAATGTTTTAGCACTACTTCAGCACACCATATATGATTTCCTCCGCCTGCTGCAAAGTGATCAGCTGTTCTGATCTTCTGCACCTGAAGACTCAACAGGTCCGAAAGAGAGAAGGTGAAACTGTGGAAACTTGAGGACAGGAGAAGTCCCAAGTTACCTGGACGGGTGGGACTTGGTGAAAACGATACTTCTGGATCTTTCTGAATCAGAGGATACCAGCGGCTTATATTCTCCTGCAGTCTGCAGCCCTCACACTCTACAGCCACTTGCTGCTACACACTGTGCTGTGTTAGTCCGATAATCTTTACACATCTTTCACTGCAGAAGTATCAAAATTCACAATATACCGACAAGTCTACGAGGCAAATTTTGCGTTGACTCGTACAATGTAGACCAAGAGCGCAGCAGGCAAAGAAAGACGAGTGTGGTGAACTGAAGAAGTGCTAAGCATAATGGCTTGCTGATGCCAATGTAATGCTCTTAAAAATGTCCAAATACAGTATAGCTTACATTAAGGATGTTTAGGTTTTTCTTTAAATTAGATGAATGACATGGTACAGTTTCTCAAGAAATAGGACGAGCTGACCGGCATCTCCTGTGGCTACTACACTTACTATTGACAAGTACCTCATACAACACCAATTCAAAAATACGGAACTACGATTAATTTATAAATCTGTAGAAGATTATTCCTTTTGTGTGTTTGTTTTAAGACACATATACTGTACATGTTTTCCCTGTGAAACAATATATATATTTTTAAATGAATTGTTTATAAATATATTCTATTTAATGTCAAACCAGTAAAAAAAAAAAAAAAAACTCCTACATTTCTTGGTCGTAGAGGAACCCGCTCGTTGTTTTTGTCCATTCCTGGAATAACAACCGTCATCCTTCTGGGACCCTTCATCCCTAAAACATTTGTTTCCTGGAACACAAAGTAAAAAGTAGAATCTGATGTTTAAATTCATTTGGTGTTAAAATGAAAAAAACATTAAAACAGTATTAATGTAATGTAAAGTTAAATGTTTATTATGAGCTTTCAGATGTCTTACATAGATGATCCCTGCTAACTCCTGGCGTGCGTTGGACAGGTCAGGAAGAGCTCTCTCTGGATTCAGAGCGTTATCAAATACTGTGAACTTTGTGCCCATTAAATTAGACCTTGAAAAAATACCAAAGAAAAATCAATTATTAAAAAATAAAATTTGGCTGTTCATCATCATGTACCTGTTTTGAATCAATGTTTTTTTTTTATTAGTGCAGTGTACCTCAACTTTCCCACAAAATTCTCGCCTCCTCTTGATAAATCTGTGGCATCAATGGAGATGAGGTAATTTGATGTAGCGCTCTTCTTACGTTTCCTTCCAGCCAAGAGGAACGTCTACACACAAAAAAAAACATTAGATTTAAAGAAACAGAGCAAGTTAATTTGGTTTGACTTTTTATACTCTAGATCTGGATGAATACTTATCCACTAACTTGTTCTGAGATTGCAAAACATATTAAGTGCTCAATTCCCCTTAACTATGCCTAACACTTTGACCTTTTGTTCGTTGTCCAGGTGAAAGTAATACAGAGGGTAGAGACTCTTATCCATCCCTCTCTGGTCTCGTGTCACTCGGCACTTGATGGTCGTGCCCTGCGGAGCCGGCTGCATCACAAACTTCTCCAAGTCGTCAAACTCAATCTCAGGTGACGGAGATCTCTCCTGGAAAAGAAACATATCGTCGCATGTCGTCGTAGACATGAATTTAAATGACTGAAATGTCTTTTAGATTGTGAGCTTTGAAATACCTTTTTCTTCTTTCCTTTGCCCTTCTTCTTCTTGGATTTTTCTTCTTTTTCTGACTCTGAATCATCACTCTCTTCTGCCTTTGCTGAAATATAAATATAAACTGATCAGATACTTGTCACTGATGGAAAAAAAAAAAAAAAAAAGGGGGTTAAGTTTCAAGTGAACCTGCCTTTCTTCTTCGTCTTCTTATCTTTGTCCTTGTCTCCTGATGTTTGGAACATGGACGCTGAGCCGGCGGAGGATTTCTTCTTTGATTTGCTCGACTTTGTTTCCGCTTCACTTTCGTCGCTGTCAGATTTAGCAGCTGCTCGGGGAAGAAATTAAAATATTCCTGACTGAACCTCATACACTTGTAAGATCCTGACTAAGCATTAAAGACACATTTGAAAATAAAATCAACAGTCATGCTGTACAGGTACAGCTGTAAAGGAAGCTACACGATCACAAGAACATTAAAGGAGTACCAATGGCTTTGGAAAGTTTGGAGTTGTGAGAGTAGATCAAAATCAAACACCTTTCTTTTTGCTCTTTGTGTCTTTCTCTCCATTTATCTGGAACATTGAAGCTGGTTCCTTCTTCTTGTCCTTGTCTTTTGTTTTGGACTTTTTCTCTTTCCCATCAGAATCTTTGTCCTCTGAAAAAAGAAAAAAAAAGAAAAACAAGTGAAGTTTGAAAAATGTCACCTGTCCTTGAATGTGATCCCAATCAGAACTCGTGTGAGCACACATTGCCTGGGGAGCTCCTTTTTGTCAAAGGCAAATAATGTGAGTGTCTTTGCTCTAGGTGTTAGAGATGTTAGATACAAGAAGAGTAGACTAAGTGTAAAACAAATAAAATGTCAATAAGCAACAACTTGAGACAGATTTGTATGAGCAGAGCAAATTTCAAGTGTGCAATGATTTTGTTTGCTCAGTTTGAATTTGCTTCTGTTTTTTCTTACAACTTCTGTTTGGGACAAAGGATTTGAAAATATTCAGGTTACCCCAGGAAGAAAATCATACTTGGTTGTTAGGTTCATTGATATCATTTACTGTTAAAGTATCTTACGCAAAGGAAACCGCTGATAAAGCAAACTGGGAAGCAGACAAACATTACTTGCAGATATTTACTCTGCTCTCAGTCAGTGTTTACTCGCGAGGAATACAAACCACCAAAACCGAGAGTGCATAACTTTAAAGAGAGACCAGAGCTGAAAGTGCCAAATTCCTTACTTGTATCTAGTTGCAAACATTTTGTGGCCTTTCTAAAACTCGATGACAGTCGTCATAAAGTCACTGCTAACTTTATAAACATCCATATGCAGGAAGCTATGCTAACATGCTCTTTAGTCTTGATTAACTGTTTGATTACTCATCATCATTACTCATCTGTTGGGGCTGTTTGTAAAGTTGTGGCAATAATGAACTTTAGGAATTGAAAGCATGTGGTCCAAAAATGTGCTTAGCTTCACACTTCAGCTAAGTGCTAAGCTAATACATTTATTCAATTATGTATAGTCACTGTTTTAAACTACTCTAAATGTTACTTTATCAGCCAGAGTGTGCCATTTCTTTAAACACTTTGTCATCTTAATAAAAAAGCATGCCCCAATATTCAACACACTGTCTGAGTCTGTGAGCCTGGGCCCAGGAATCTTCTGTGAATAGTAATTGTAAAAGCTATCTATCCACAGCAACCATTAATAAGCAGCCGATATATTTAAATATTTATTTCCATGGTTACCAAAAACACTGCTTTCCTTCTCTGTACAGGAGGGGCAGGGAGCTGAAAACATGTCAGAGCGTGTATTGCTGACACAACTGATGGCTGCTCTGAGGTTGAGGTTAAATTCAGCTATGAAGCAAAAGATCTGGAGACGATCCAACGAAACGATCAGGAGGAGTGAACAACTCTGAGCTGAACACATACACTAGTCCAATAAGGAAGTATAAATACATCATCTCACTGGCACTCTTTTCATTTGAGCTCAAGCCAACGGAATCATGGGAAACATGCATCCAAGGATGTCCCTTCCCCTACTGTTCAAGACACGTGATATAAACATATTCTCTTTGAAAGAATGATTTGTTGTATGAAAGTTGCTGAAAGTCACAGTTGTCGTGTTCAGGTGTTATATGACCGTACTAGACGGGCTAGCTAGTAAAGCTACACTAATGCAGAGCCCTACTTTATGCTAAATGCTAATAAAAGCATACTAGCAAACTCATGATGACAGTGCCAATGTGGCCACGCTCTTTACTTTACAATATTAGCATGCTAACTGAGTACAACTAAAGCTGGGGAGAAACAGGGATTTGGTCATAAACCAAAATATTGGACAAACTTAAAGTTGGCCTTTGTATGGAAAAAAATGTTAGGGATCACTAAAGTTATATCAAAATGAATTACGCAAGAAAGGGAACATGCCATGTTACTTTAACTTTCATGTCACTTTTATATAAAATATTCTTTCTTATTGTGTTTGCCATCTTCCCTATTTTGTCTACTTGGCTATTCTGTCTTTTTGTTGTTGCAACAGCTGAATCAACCTCTGAGTGATCAATAAAGGACTTCTCTTATCTTATCTTTCCAACAGATATTTCATTAAAGTGTTGGGCCAACCAACCGGCTGACATTGCCAAACCAAATGTTGCTACTAAAAAGCTATTCTTACCAAAACATAACGCAGTGTTTTCAGGTACTTCAGTTCAATGGTAAATGGACTTGAGCTTGTATATCACTCTGCCCACGGGCATGTGGCTCCAGGAGCTGGGAATCGAACCCCTATTCTTCCAGTTTAGAGACGACCAACTCTACCAACTGAGCCACAGCCGCTTCTGGAAACAGCAGCATCTCTCAGACAAGGGTTTAATACTTCAAAGTCTCTACATTTTAGTTAGCAAGCTAGTTGGTCTACTAAATTTGGGTAAAACTAACTGAAAATGTGCTCTAACAGTTTTGAAAAATAAACCTCATGATCTACCAGATCTTCAGAGTTAAACTGCTACTAAAGACGATCAGACGGATCTGTCCTAACACTTCACTTAAAGTGTCAATTTTGAGTAGAACTGAGAAGAGCACTTTCAGGATATGATTGATTGTTTTGGAATGGTACACATACTGCTGTGTTTTGTGCCCTCTGTTTCCATGTCAGTGTTTTCACTAACTTAGCATTAGAGGATAAAATTGTGCAACCCTCTTAACAACATAAAGCTGGTGTTGTAACTGCTGCTCACATCACTGTTAATGCCTTTAGAAAACTGTTGTCCCGTGTTCTGGTCATACCTTTAGATTTAGATTTCTTCTCTTTGGCAGAACTCGCTGACAGAGAGCTGTCCTTTGTCGCCTTCTTCTTTGTCTTCTTTTTAGGGTTGTCTTCATCGTCATCATCATCGTCGTCATCTGTGCCTGAATCTGCAGAAGTGGAGGACAGATTTATGTTTAGTGTTGTTGAGTCAGAGTGTTTATTTGAGTGTGTTTTAACACAGCACTGATGATGTACCTTTCTTCTTCTTCGGTGCACTTTTGGCTTTCTTTTTTGGCTCTTTTTCTTTCTCCTTTTCTGGTTCTTCTTTGTCTTTTTCTGGTTTCTTTTTCTTCACCTTCTTTCCATCTACAATGTTGACAAGGACAGCGTGTAACCAATGTGGTCAGAGTTAAATAATACATCTTCTATCTTTGTAGGAAATGCTTCAATAGTCAAAGTGTCAGTGAGGATCCTCACTTTGGACGGCAGGACTCTCCTCTTCGATTACATCTTCATTTTTCTTGCTCTTTGCTTTTTTGGGCTTGGCCTCTTTGCTGTTCAGCTTGGCTTCTGATGTACCATTAGCCTCCTCTTTCTTCTTTTTTGGCTTCTTTGGATTTTCTTTAACATAAAAACAAAATTAAAATTGAATCTTCATGAAAAAAGAAAGTGAGAGATAAAAGAAAAATAGAAGAGCTAGAGAAGCAGCGTTCTTAGTGAAGAAGAACTTACCATTACAAAGTCAGACGTGAAGAGAAGCAAAGGGAGGAAAGAAAAGATATATTTTCACTGCTGCTACAGATTTTAATATTGTTTCTTTAAAATCAGACATAGAACATACACGGTTTATAAAGCTATAAATACATCTGGCTTCTGGAAAAGGTCCATGTGAAGTTGTCTATATTGACTTTAATTTGCAGTTTAGGGAAAGAAATTGAATAAAGAAAGAAGTCATGAAATAGAAACAATCAACATATTTGCATAAGCCTTCATTTGTTACAGTTAAAACATTTAAAAGTATTAGTGATAATAAAGTTTAGTAACACTTAAAAGCAAGTTTTGTAACCATTTTGTGTCACTTTATCCTCTTGGGAACAGAGACTTAAAAACAGCATCGAACACATCTTAATTCCAAACTATATATTTGTATTAAGTAAATGGTAAATGGAATTGAGCTTGTGTCTTGCTTTTCTAGTCTTTCTGACTACTCAAAGTTCTTTTACACCGTAGGTCACACCTACACATTCACACACTGATGGCAGAGGCTGCTGTGTAGTGAGACCATCAGAAGTCACTAATCCTATTCATAAACTGGGGAACAAACCCCCAACCTTCCAGTTGTGAGTAGATGACTACCACTGAGCCACAGCCACTCATTAGTATATTACCCTGTGTAAGAAATAGTGGAGCAGCCACTAGAGACAAAATAAATCTAGACTGTCAGTTATACATTTGTTGACTCTTTTTTTCCCTGTTGATTTCAGATAAGATCTTTACTCTCTGCATGTTTGATCAAAATGTCAAAATTCATAACTCTTCCCAATTTACTTGCACAGGGCTTAAGGTTTCATCTGTCTACAGAGAGCTTGGGGTGAGGTCATGAGTGGGGGTATCAAAGGACGGATCCTTTAAATCCAGCCACACAATGTCTATGTGTTTTAACATGCATTGGTCAAAACTCAATTTTGCCTTACCAAAACTTTTTCAGAGAGCACTAACCCACCTCTTCATTAAGTACAGTTTCAATAAAACAATCATTCAATAAATGAAGTTTTGTTTGACACCGCCAGACAAGTAATGGTTAAACCACACCTTTATTACTGCTGTTATAGTTTGCAACAGTGTGAATTTAATTGCATAATATTGAGAAATGTTTGTCATGTTTTGTCCATGAGGGAGGCCGAATATTTGAAACATCTTTCATTAAAACGCACAAAGAAACAACACAACCACTAGGCCATCAATGCTAAACATGAAGGACCCTAATATTTTCTCACAGTGTCAAAGATCTTAAACTTTGTAAAAAAGAGAATTGCTGTATTGCATCACATGACACAGGTGTAGCTTATAACAGGACCAAAATAAGAAACTCGTCAATGCATAAAAACTCAACCCAGAAGTGTTTTTCCCAAGGTTTCGTAATGAGTCTAAAGACTAAATCGTCTCAATCTGTACAGCTGAACAGGACCTGTCTGTCACTGTCTCAGGTCACAAAGAAGCAGGTCAGAGTGATTGCGGCCAGCGGAGACAAGTAATCCTATTAGATGTAGATCCGGCCTCGATGGAGTCTATTTGTGTCCACAACTCAGAGGAATGGCAGCAGATTTGGCCTTTGTTATTATGTGGTCAAAAATTGTTGTGTTAACGTTGCAGAATGTGATTTTGTAATATATTTCT